TCTGGAAGTTTTAATCCAAGAACATCTGGGGACCTAAGGTTGGGAACCATTACTCTAGAGTCTGTTTTCAGGCAGTGCCAAAGTCTGAAGAGGGAAAGTGGAGGGTAAGAAAATCATGCTGTGGTTGCCACCAGAATACTGGGTGTAGCCTCTTGAAATCGTTCTGAAAGAAATTGCAGGTAATCTTTAAATACTGTGGTGGTGACTATTGTTCTGAAACTGTGGTCAGGAGATTTTATGTTTGCTTCCTCTTTAGAAATGAATTTTAGCAATAAAACTTATTGTGCTCAGCTCACAAGGTTATTGGGGGAATAAACTGAGATAATCCGAAGTATGCTGCCATTGCATACAAATGTAAAAAATACATTACATGACACAAACTAACCAGAGGTCAGTTCCTATTGTGGGCACGTTCAGCTTTCATCACAAGCTGAAATTCAGGAGAATCCTGGCTAGTTGAAGATGAGTTAGCATGCTAGGGCATGTTTTCTGATCACATATTAGACCCATCTTTTGGTTTATGCACAGACTTGGCCGGAGCCAGTTTTGTGGCTTGTCCCTCCCTATTTATTGAAGAAATAATCCAGATTCTTCTTCATGGCCTCTGTGAATCACACAATGGGTAATCTGCTCATGAGTGGAGCCTTGTTGGAATATTCTAGAGCTTCTGCGGTAGCAAAGAAAAATACATTAGCATAGACCCCTCCACCCTGGTATACGTACCTTGGCGCCAAGGCTCTCCCTTCAGTTTCTTTCAGCCACCGTGTTGACAGCCTCAGTCGTTGCTTCTGTGAGAAATCTGAAAACAAAAGTAGGAAACTTATTGAACTTTATTATCCTTATTTTCAAAACAAGATATGCTCTGGCCTTAAGGCCGAAGTGTCCCCCCCACACACACACTTTTCTGTCGTTTTCTTTTCAAAACCAATTCTTGATTCATGGCCTTTTCAGGCCCATTTAAAAGCTGTGTAGCCTGCAATAACAAGATCCTGCTCTATGATGGCCTACCTGATGCCTTTTTTGCCTCGGCGAGGCTATCAAACTTCCTCGTCCCCTCACTGCAAAAACTTTAAACACGGAGTTCTCCGCAGTCGCCTCTCTAGACTCAAGCTTCGGCTCTGGGAGCAATCCCTAAAGCCATGGATGAAGCTGTTTCCGAAGTGACAAAACAGTGCCCATCAGCTACTCCATCTCGTTCCAATCGATAATCTACTCTGCCCTCGATATTGAAGGTCATGCGAGTACACAAAGCTAAACATTCAACGTCAAAACCCTGGACATTGAAAACAGCCTCTATGAGAAAACCATCCATGGACGCTTCCTTAGCACCAGAATCATCACCTCTGAAGAAGGCTAAGTCTTCAAAATCGAAACCTTCCAAAACAGTTTCCCCAACTCCACAACCACCGGAGTCTAGAAACCTCATATACGTCGGTTCCCTTTCAGATGAGGAGGCACTTCCACCTCATCAACCTTACCATCGCAGTCTCCTGAATGGGAACAGCATGTTGATCGACTGACAGCTTCCCCTTATAGCCTGCGATAATCCTCAGGCTCTCCAAGTGAGTCTTCACAGATTGCCTCATCAGACATGGTTAAATGCAGCCAGAAACTGTGCCTTACTCTGCCCCTGTAGGCCTACCACCCTGGCCTCCAGCACATCAAAAAAGGCATCAAGCCTATACGAGCGCCTTCTCGTGGGGAAAGGGATCACGCTCAGCACATTCGACGTCAAAACCCTGGACATTGAAAACAGCCTCTATGAGAAAACCATCCATGGACGCTTCCTTAGCACCAGAATCATCACCTCTGAAGAAGGCTAAGTCTTCAAAATCGAAACCTTCCAAAACAGTTTCCCCAACTCCACAACCACCGGAGTCTAGAAACCTCATATACATCGGTTCCCTTTCAGATGAGGAGGCACTTCCACCTCATCAACCTTACCATCGCAGTCTCCTGAATGGGAACAGCATGTTGATCAACTGACAGCTTCCCCTGATAGCCTGCGATAATCCTCAGGCTCTCCGAGTGAGTCTTCACAAATTGCCTCATCAGACATAGTTAAACGCGACCAGAAACTGTGCCTTACTCTGCCCCTGTAGGCCTACCACCTTGGCCTCCAGCACATCAACAAAGGCATCAAGCCTATACGAGCGTCCGCTTGCCTTCTCGCGGGGAAAGGGATCACGCTCAGCACCATAAGCTGATCAATATACCTTGGCTCCGGGCATGTTGCAACACCAACAAGTTACTATTTTCCTCTCCATTACGAGGACTGTGAGTACTCATCCCACTCAGCATCACCAGCGCCTGTCTATTCCACCATAATACAGTGTGGTCCATCAATGCCTTTACCACCTCAACAGCTCTCTCAACACCGACAGCAACCTCCATTTCAACATACCTTGTTACTCACCCTTTCAATATTGACGATCCTCAATATTGAACACTGTCCATGGACGCACCTCCAATGTCCATACTGATTGACAACCCTCAGTATTGACCACTGTCCACCGACACCCCTTCAACATCAACAACTTGGCATCAACACCAGTATTTTGAGGACCAGCCTCTCGATGTCAATATCGATCGATAGTTGATTGACTCGACTCATGATGCCGATCCATCTGATCATGGTTCCAGGCCTCAAACACCATCAGGACTTTTAACATCATCAGATTCTGACCTGGCAGACACAGACCCTCCATCACTAGTAGAGTATTTACAAACCTATGTTCAACTAATGATTCTTATGGCCAAATACCTCGACCTACAAATCCATAGACCCACTACTGGAGCAGGAGATCATCTTCATGATCCCATCTCTAAAGATACTATCACACTGGTCCATATCTCCATGCTCCCTTCTCTCCTGAGCACAGCTAGACATTCTTCAACCAAACCAGCAGCATCTCATTCGGTGTCAAAACACATAGACAACCTTTATCGAGTACATGATCCGGGCACAGTCTTTTACATAAACAACCAGCTCCCAATTCCATATTTGTCAAAGTTTCACAATCTTGCTCTCGACACAGACAAATACTAATACCACGTAATAAAGACAGCAGGCACATTGACTCCATGGGCAGATGGCTATATTCTGCCGCCTTCACCATAAGAGTTGCCAGCTATCAGGGAGCTATGGGCACCTACCAATGTTATCTCTGGACAATATGTCTGCCTTTATTGATGCTCTCCCCAGAGGGAGACAACGGCAGCGATACAAGGATATCTGCAAGCGGGATCCGAAGGTCTCAGGAATGGACCTCAACAAATGGGAAACCTTGACATCTGAGCGTTCAGCCTGGAGGCAGGAGGTGCAGGATGGCCTCTCCCAATTTGAAGAATCCCTTGTCTAACAGGCTGAGGCAAAGAGGCAGTCCCGAAACCAGCAAAATCAGGGAGCTGGACGGGGACAGATTGTACTTGTCTTCAATGTGGAAGGGATTGTCACTCTCGAATTGGTCTTCTCAGCAACACTAGACGCTGTTCAGAGTTTCTCAAGACTGAAGGATGCCTGCACAAAAAAACTAAGGGTCTTTATCTCTCATCCCTCAAGGTCTAACTTTCTGCAGTTGTGGCTTATCAACCACCAACCTCTCAGGCAACTAAGTTTTTCAGACACCCTACACTGAAACATTTCCCCAAGGGGCTATCACACCTCTACCACAGATGTCCACCTTCCACCACTTCAGTGGTCACTGACATTGGCCCTTCAACAACTTACAAGGGTCCCGTTTGAGCCCCTGGCATCAACTGACCTCAGGTTACTTACCTTCAAAACGATATTTCTTGTGGCCATCACGTTAACTTGATGTCCTAGTGAACTTGCAGCCTTAAGTTTTAAACCAGATAAGGTTAAACTTTTTGGAGATATTTCTTTTCTACCCAAGATTGTCTCCCAGTTCCACCCATCCCAACCTTTAGTTCTTTTTTTTTTCTTTTTTTTTGTCTCCTACTCATCAAAAAAAGGATCCTCCACACTCTGGATGTAAGACAGGCTCTTTGCTTTTTACATAGCCTGCACTCAGTCCTTCAGATGCGTAGCTAGACTTTTTGTCAGCTGCCAGTTTCCTGCCAAGGGTCTTCAAGTTACCTTGCAGAGACTATCTAACCGGGTTGCGTCTACAATCCAGGTTGCTTATCAGTTTGCTCAGGTTCCAGTGCCACAGAGTATCTGCCCTCATTCTAGGGTGTTGGTGACATATACAGCATTTCTTCGGGGTGTCCCCATACCCAGACATTTGCACCTCTGCCACATGGTCACAGCCATCCACGTTTATCAATCACTACAGATTGCACGTTCGGCAGCAATCTGATGCTGATTTTGGGCGTGCTGTGTTCCTCCGGGTATCGTAGCTTTTTAGTCACCCATAGTGTGATACACAGAGGCCACGAAGAAGGACAGGTTATCAGCCTGTAATTGTAGTTCTTTGAGTGAACCTCTGTGATTCATACGTACCAACCCGGCCTCCCCACTGTCACGCCCTTTTCTTTTTGCAGTGGTTGACCTAACTGAAGAGAGAGCCTTAGCGCCAAGGTATATATATACCAGGCGGGAGGGGTCTATGCTAATGTATTTTCCTTTGCTACCACAGAAGCTCTAGAATATTCTGAGGAGACTCCGCGCATGCGCGGATTACCCATAGTGTGAATCACAGAGGTCCACTTGAAGAACTACAATTATAGGTAGGTAACCTGTTGTTTTGCTGTAGGGTTAATATTTTGGCTCATCAGGAAGGAAAATGGTTAGTGAGCCAGGCCTCTTCCATGTCTGCATGTCACAATAAAGAAGCCAGAATATCAAGATCTGCCATTCGTGTTCCTGCTCCAAGCACGCTGCTCATCCCCGATAAGCCAGGTTTCCCACAAATCCATGGCTTACAGTGACATGTGAACCCAGCCGTGGTATTCTGTAATAAAATAACGAATTGAATTTCTTCTTAATCACTGGCTAGCATTTACTTAAACATATGAAACATTTCTTCTTTTGTCAGATAACTTTCCTCAAATGGCCCATCAGAAACGGTTCATTGAACGGAAATACAGACAAGAGCTCAAAGAAATGAGGTGGGAACGAGAGCATCAGGAAAAGGAGCTGGAGGAGACGGAAGACATAAGAAAATAAGTGAAGGTCATGGAAGAAATGGCATATTTGCTTCCTTAATAACTTGGATGGTGGCCTACAGAGACCTAGCTTAGTTTCATGTGAATGAACGGATGAAGTGTGCTCATTGAATCATGTTTGATTTTATTTTATTTTTTAATAATGTATTTTCTTCCATTTTTACTTGTGAAGATGAAAGAGTTTACCTTTAGAGTTGAAAAGGGGTTAAAAGAAAATAGTTTATTTTAATGTTCTTTGTGAAGAATTATGCTTTTGTTTTCTAGCTTGTGTTTATTGAACAATAAAGTATTCTACTTCAGCATCTGTAACATTCTTTAAAAACAAGGAAGCCTTTTTGTGCTAAAAGAATTGTTTAACTATATCAAATAAGAAGACGAACTATTTCTTCAGCTGTGCGACACTACCGCTAGGAAGAGATAGGTTAATCTGTTTTTGAAGACAGTGAGAAGGTGTTCTCTCCGAACTCTGCTTCAGTAGAGAGAGTACTGGACAGGAAGTACAGTACATGAGGAAACTTGGTTTGTACACTTCACAACAACAATAAAAAAAAACAGAAATGCTGGGCTCCATAAACAAAATCAGAAAAACAAGGATTTTGGATATATGTTATATACCCTTTGTCCAACATTATCTGCAGGATGCTTCCACTTCTTATGCTGATATCCTCTCCTCATTTTGAGATGCCTTACCTTCAGATTAGCTCAGGGCAATGGGATTTACATTCCAAAACTCTTAAGCTGGTTAGATGCCTACATTCTTATGAGAGCTATATTTTTAAATGCATGCTGTAATGAAAAATAAAAGGAAGTTCTGCAGGTAGCTTGATTCTAGAGCTGTGAGGCAATTGGTTCCATAAGTGCATTCAAAGAAAGTAGTCTGCATATCATGAAATTAAACAATTCCCAATTTTCTAAAAACATAGTATTTGGTGTTTGTCCTGAGAATGCGTCCAGACGAAAAGGAGGACCTGTGTAGTTCTATGTGAAGAGTTAACTTTGTGTACCCACAATACAGAAACTGTGGTTTAGGCGTTTGGCTGTGGAGCCAGAGGTTGTCAGTTCAACTCTAAAACTGTGGTTTAGGCGTTTGGCTGTGGAGAGGTTGTCAGTTCAATTCTGCACTGCAGTTCCTAGCAAAGAGCCAGCCTGTGTAGCCATGGGCAAGCTGCATGCATAGTCCCAGATCACAGCCAGAAGAAGGGAATGGCAAGCCCACAGCTGTGTATTTGTTACTTAGAAATATCTGGACAATGTAACCATAAGTCGAAATTGACGGTACACAATTATTATTTTCCAAATATTCAGTTAGCCAGGAAATTTGCATTTACAAGTGCTCAGCTGGAGAAGGGAGCACTGAGAATTTCATATTATGGACCTTGTCCTGGCCTTTTCCAATCCGAGAAACATAATGCAGCGCTATGGCTCTTTTGTCTGCACACAAATGCCAAGACCTTCAGTAGCCATTCTGCTGGGGAAACCTTGATGTCTTTTGTCTGGCATGGGGGTAATGCTGGCATTGAATGGGTGCATGAGTAAGCCCTGAGGTAGCAGGAACAGGAAGAAGGTATAAACTAGGATCAGTATAATTTAACTATTTCTTTACCCATTCAGGGATCAGAGTTGGCATCAATTTGCTGATCTCCAGCCCCTCAAACTAGGTTTCTTTTCTTTTTTTAATTCCCAGTATTCTTTCTTTTGAAAAGGTGTACTCAGAGAACATGTTGACTTGATCTGAATGCTGTTTGCTTTTATGGTTCCTTTCTTCCTTCTTACAGGATTTGAACAGTGGTTAACTGCAAAGTGAAGCTTGTGACTTTTGTTATACTAAAAAGAGAGAAATTACCATAACAATATGATAGATGGCACAGGGAACAGCAGCTCTCTCTCTCTCATCTTGTCACAGATTTATCCTCCTATCCTTTATCCTTCAGCTGAACTGCTAATTAAACCATCTCTCCCTGATACCTAAAGGCTTTTATTATTTTACAAGGTAAAACAAGTTCTGTTTTGTGGGTGTTGAGGCTTCTTTTGATTGTTGGTTTGCTCATCAAAATTGCCCTTAATTGTTGACTCTTGCCTACCACAGTTTGTATTTTAAACTTTATGGGGGTGGGGTGCACAAGAGAGTTGACATCTTCGAGGTGGGCAGCTCTTAGAATTAGTCATGCAGCCTCTCCCCTCACTTCCTGTGTTGGAATATTATGTTCTGGGCCTTGGTTCCCGGTGAGAAGGAAGGAAAATAAAGTCTCTAAGGTACTTACTATTGATTATGTCAGGCACAAGTATAACTCAGCTTGTCATAACACAGTTTGTATAGGAATATCAACCAGCAAAAAAACCCACCATTTCGCATTCAGCGGATATTAAAAATGCTAATGTTATTCAATAACCAATTACAGAGTTTCTGGGAAAGCCAATTAAAATTCTGGAAGATAAGGAGTCTAAGTGACTTCATTGGACAGGTCAGTCAAAACTGCCTTATCAGCTGTCTGTTCTCGGGGTGATAAAGATTTTCAATTGTTATCAAGAACCTTTAAACTTTGTCATAATTATGGGGGGGGGATATGATTTTGATCCTATTAGTGTAAGCGAAAATGACTTCTGCTATAGTCCTTGAAGAGATGGATGGTACATCCATTGCAGAGATTTTCAGTGAGTATTGTATTGAGCAGCATGCTGCTGCTTTGGCACTTTTTAGTGTTTTCCGGTGTTCCTGTGTTAGAAAATGCATCTGTGCTGCTGTGGTTCAGGTGGAAGAGTGACATTGCCTCCTCATCTCTCAGTATCCCACCTAACTAATTAGTCTTGTGGCATGCCTTTGTGGAGTAAGTTTGTCCATAGAGGTAGCTTAGAAAATTCTTATTGTCTAGTTTGCAACTCTGATACAGCAAGTTATTTTTTTAATGCCAGTTTAACCTGTAGCTAAGCTTTCCTGCATATTAAAACTCAGAATACCTGCTTTCATCTGCCCCCCCCCATCCCTCTTTCATGATGGCACCAAAAGCAAGCTACTTTTCTTTCTTACGTAGCCCTGTAACCAAAACCTGAAATTTTTGGCCTGGTTGTTGTAGCTAAAGCTCCCACTGTGTTCTCTTGGCCATAAATTATACGATTGCTATCATCGTTATAGTGTAACTTTCTCCAGTGGATTTGTAGGCCGAAACATTCTGGGAGCTATAATCCAAAAAAATCGGGCTCGACGTGCTTGGGCACAGCTGATCAATTTCCAACCTGTTGGGGTGGAAGACATTGATATTTTCTTGCCATTCATGGCTACAAGGAATCTGTGATTTTGATCAGCAATGCTGTAGGAAAGATTTCCACTTCTATGATCTCAGTGCAGGCAAGTCTGTCCATTTCCTTTAACTGTAGTCCACAATCTTCCTATGAATTTCAAGAAAACATCACACCTGCACAGATTATTCTCTGGTTTCCTTATGGAGACAAAGGATATTTTTAATGTTTGGGAGTGTGTGCTGCTGTTTGCCTTGACCATATGAGGTGTCTGGATATCCCATCTCCCAAAAAGAGGAGCATGCCAATGGAAGTGATGTTTACATTGAGAGGGAACATCCAGATCAAGAGATCCCCAGTCATGGTGGAAGATTAAATAACTGTACTCCACTGTATCTTACAGGCCCCAGTAATAATCTGGATCAGGCCCTTCCACCTATCTGCTATTTACTTTTAGAGAACCATCTGCAGTTGCTAATTGCATAAATGGCATCTAGTCTACTGAGGCCTGCAGACTGTTTATTGATAGCTAGAATCACCCTCCCCAAAAGCTACATTCATATTAGCAGTAAATGAAAATAAATGTTCTTTTGTCTGCCATAAATGCTGTTATAGCCCATATGCCTAAGTTAATTACATCTTGTTTTAAAACACTAAACAGTGGAAAACAAATTTCAGTGGTAAACTAGACAAAATTATTTTTGCTTCTACTGGTTGATTATAGTAAAGATGATAAAATGTAACTTAGCTACATCTGCTCGACTCTCCCCAAGATCTACTATTTTCCATATAGACCCAAGAAAGTACAGCAGTTGCTTGAGACTTACAGTTTCCCAGTCCAATAATTTCTCTCTATCTTGAAGACTGATGTCCCAACAAGAAAGTACAGCAGTTGCTTGAGACTTAGCTGCTGCCCTGAAACTTGGCAACCCTTCCAGTTTCCCAGTCCAATAATTGCTCTCTATCTTGAAGACCGATGTCCCAGAAGGAGAAGACAAGGCAAGACAAGTGAAGGCTGCTGCTCCTTCTTGCTCTTCTTTCTGCTTATATTGTGGGACCAGGTATATGAAGAGCAAGAAGGAGGAATACGTTCAGTGGTCTGTGAGGATCATGTCGCACCATGCTCCTAGCATATGGTCCTCAGCAATTGCCTGGTGTTGCCATCCTTTGATAATGGCTTGGCATTAAAGCCAAACGAAGGCATGTCCTCAGAATAAAAACAACATTTGATCAACATCTCTATTCAGAAGAGGCGGGACACTCATGGTTTCCAAATATTGATGTTTATGTTAGAAATACCTATATCCTAGTTCTCATTGTTGCACGTCCTTACATTGATTAACTGCTGGAGTTGATGGAAATAGGGTCTAATGCTATCTGGTGGTCCAAAGGGTCATCAGCCCTTCTGTATGATGTAATGGTAGAGGTGGAGCTTAATTCTCTTCCATTCTAGTGTTCCCTTCCTTTGTGATCTCTGTCTGAACACTTTACCCCAGGCTTATCCATAAATTGCTGCCCTCCATATGTGTTGTTCTACAAATCCCATAGTATCTACCACTGTTTCAGCACAGGGCCAAAGAGGGAACCGCTGTGGAAGTAAATGGGCACAGCTCTGTCTCCCACCAGGAACTGTGAGTCTACTAATGCAGGGATGGGCAACCTGTGTCCCCCCCTTCAGGATGCTGTTGGACTATAGTTCCCATCTCTCTTCATTGGTCATGCTAGTTGGTGCTCATGGAAGTCTAACGACATGGAAGGCTCTGAGGTCTCACTCCTGTTCAGATTTGTTCACTGAACTCTGTAAGTAGGTGGGTTGCCTCTTCATAGCAATGAAGCATGCATGTTCCATTATTTTAGTTGAGAGCCACAGACCTGATTCTCTTATTGAGTGGTTCCCAACGATGTTCTTGGACTAAAACTCCTAGAAGCCTTCACCACTAGCCAGGATTGTGGTAGCCAAGATTTCTAAGAGTTGTAGTCCAAGAACATCTGGGAACCCACGTTTGGGAACTACTGCTCTA